TCGTCTTCCCTATGTTTTGCAATATATTTTCATTAAATAAATAGAATACAGACTCTACTGGAAGATTTTCTGCAATAGTTTTCGAAATTAATCTTTTAACCATACTATTCCTTTCTTTGTAACTTCTTATGGTATTCATAGGGTGAATTTTTCGTTTATTTAATAAAATTTTAATTATCATATAGAAAAATTGATTAAAAAGAATTTTTTTATTGTTCTATATTTTTAATATCACATTATGATTTTAAAAATCGGCTTTGGAACATAAAAAAAACAATAGTTATTTCTAATTTTAAATAAAATTGTTTTTAAGCTATAATTTGTTTATGATATTTTCATAAAAGCTTTTGAAGGTCTGTTTAAAAAATGACTGCTAAGTGTTAATTTATAGTATATTATGTATGTTGTGTATTTCCTACCTACGTTTCGTTCATGATAAACAAAAATTTCTCATTGAAAGATACATATATTTTAAACTTTCTTGTGTTTATACCTGTAAGTAATTAATTGGATAACAAATTCATAATTATCAAATCTGATTAACCTGAAAGAGAGGAACTTGTGTAAAGTCAAAAAACACATGGAGAAGGAAATTGGAGATCTACTAGTCCGAACTCGAAAGCTTCTAAGTGAATTGGTAACAGTAAACTTTTGAACCCCATTAATCAAAATATTACCAAGCATTCTGAATCTCCTTTGCCGATGACTATAACTGACTTAACACGGATTTTCCATGCGTTGCAGGCATGTTAGGACGAAGAAACAAGCAAAAAAAGACCAAGATCAATGTGGAAAGAAAACATTGAGACTTAAATCTCCGTGTTAAAACTTGCAAAATATATTCTCAAAGAAGCGCATAGACAGGAAAAACTCTCTTCCCTCAAAAAAAAAGTCGCAGAGAAATTTTTCGAGTGTTTAGTTAGAATTTAGCCATACAAATGATCTTTCTGAGGTTTTGCTTTAGAAGAATAAGTCTCTGAATGGTCATGAGAAGAATCTTACAATGTACGGAAGTAGGAAGAAATTTTGAGAGATAACTGTCAGTATTTAACTGTTCCGAGTTAGATATTATCGAGGTTTATCCGAATGTGTGGAATCTGAGCATGTGATCAATTATGATTAAATTTTAAGTTTTTGGTCTACAATGTGAAACAAAAATAAAGATAAATTTACGCATGATGAGTAATTGTTACCTTTCGTGTCAGATACTGGTTGAAGTTTCGATAAAGGCCAGAGGAAAATTTAAAATTTTTTAGGCGTAAAAACCGAATTATTTTTACCCCTTTTTTGTAAGTTTAATTTTCTTTGATAAAATCATGTAAAATAATATCCTCTTTATTCAATAAAAAATTCCATTAGTTTTAAAAACCGTCTACTTAGTGTCTTAAATCGATGATTCTCCCTAAAAAAATTCTCATATGTAATTATTTAACTTAAGCCTTTTTTAAAAATTATTTTTTTTAAACCTAACAATCTCAACCATAACTTTTCGATTATGTTTGTATAAAACCCCAATTCTGATACAATATGTGTTGAATGATTCCCATTATTATAAGATAAATCTTGATTCTCTCTTAATTTTGATTTGTATGGACGGTTTTCATATGAATATACTGTACTTATTGGAAAGAAAGCATTGTTTACAGCATTAATTTAAACCACCGAACCTTCTATTACGAACAATTTGCATATAGACCCTCTTTATCGCCTTCAAAATAGCATCGAAACCCCATTGCTAGCGAATGAGACGATCTCTATTATACTTTCCCTTGCTTATAACTTTTAATTTATTTCCAATATTTCTTCGGGTCAACCATTTTTCTTAAAAGAATACAAGCAATCATTTTGTACTAACAATCTCTGGGCTTTAAAAGTGTCTCCTATAGTTCATCTGAAAAACCATGCTTTGCTTTGGTGTCATTCTATGTAAATCCAAAGGTATACCTTCAACTCATATAAATTACACTATGAATTCCAATTTTAGAATTTGTAATTGCCCCGAAGCAATATTCAGTATATTTCTTATCGCAAAATGTACAGCGGAAACGAATTCTTCTAGAGAAAAATTAAGCCGTGTAGAGTTCTATCACAAACAAAACATGATTTAACCAAATCGTGTTGTTCTGATAAAAATGCTTCTCTACATCATTGTTGTTTTATATTTGATTTTTTTAGATTTTGATAAAAGTTCCCCACTGTTGATAAGTATCACATAAACAGAAAATTTAATTGCCTTTAAGTGAAATTTACTGCGAAATCTAAAAATTTATTAGGTTGTATATTTTTTGTAATTTTTAATTTTTTTATTGTAAATTGACAAAAAAGTGATTTTAATAAAAAAAATTTGAACCCTAAAAAATTTTTATTTTCCCCCTGGCCTTCATCAAAATCCGACCCAGATACTGATCAGGACTCGTTCCATCAATTAAAGAGTTTGTAGATTTATTAGTTGGCTTCCCAATTGGAAATCTGCTGGAATTGATGGCATTTACAATTTTTTCATTAAGAAACTTACAACTTTACACAAATATCTTTATGATATTGTGAAAGTTATATGTTTAGAAGGAACAACTCAAGCTGATTGGTTTTATTGCGGGCTCTCGTATTTGATACAGAAATGAATTCTGCAAAGAGGCTCTGACTACAGGCCAATCATTGTATATCCAGCCTCTACAAGTTAACGACAAAGTGTGTAACGAAAGTCGTTGATCTTGAAGTGGAAAGGCGAAGGTTGCTTGCTGAGAACCAGTTGGGAGCAGTTAGAGGTGTGCAGGGAGCGAAAGAGCAGGCTCTACCGAATATTGCCCTAAATAAAGAGTACGGAAACAATCTTAAGGCAACATGGATTGATGTTAAAAAAGCTTATGATTCAATAGATCATGCTTATTTAACTCAATACATTGAAAACCTTAATTTACCTGATTGGATCTTGAAATTTATTAAGGTAATTATATCAAAATGGAAAATTGATATATCAGTAGGGCCTGAAAAAATCATGAGCAAGAAGATTGAGAGAGGGATTCTGCAAAGAGATAGTTTGTCACCATTGTTATTTGTGTTGTGTATGGATCCATTAAGCCGAAAGCTTAATGAAAAATACACAAAAGTGACAGTACAAACAGATGCAGAATCTCATTCTACTAATCATCTCTTGTTTTTTGATGATCTGAAGCTCCTTGCAAAATACAGCTCCACATTGAGTGCTATGACAGACAAGGCAAAGGAATTTTTAAAGGTGATTGGCTTAAAGATTAACGTAGAGAAGTCGGCCACAAATGATACGTATTATGAAAAAACTGCTATTCTTCTAGAAGGTATTAGTTTAGACAAAAATTAAAGAAAGATAGAAAATAGCAGAGGAATTTCACACGTAGCTCATTGTAAGAAGTACAGAGCAAACTCATATTTCAATAGTTGAAAGACTTTGTCACACTAGATTAAACCCAAAAAATATATTTTCTGCAATCAATCAACATGCGATATCGTTAATCAACTATCATATAGGAGTACTTCGTCATAACCGGCTGACTTCTCTAAGTTAGATGATACAGTGCGGTGCGGTGTTGGTGAAGAATAAGATAAATCTCCGCCCAGAATGTAAAGAGCGTTTATACCTTCCTAGAACAGAACTTGGAAGAGGCCTACATAGTGTTGAGTTGCGAAGCGAACATATGCTTCTGGAACTCTTAGATTGTCTCGAAAAAAGTAAAGAAATATCAACTAGACGAGCAGCAATCCTCAAGGTGGAGAATAATAATAAATCCTATCTTGCACTAATAAAAAGCTTCTTAAAAGTAAAGTACAGGTTGTTAGAAGAAGTCACTAAGAAAAGTTTAGAAGAAGCTCAACTTGCAAAACTATATAACGAAATAGAAAAACGAAAACTCCATTCAAAGTTATATAATGCAAGGAAAAATGAGCTTGTGAGTGTTAGTGACTCTTCAAGATGGCTAAAGAGAGGAAATATTAGGCCACGAAATGAAGCTGTGTTCTGCTATATCCAGGATAGAAATGTATTCTGGGGAGCAGATGGTGTGTGTCAACATTGCGGGAAGTCTGGTAAGACTGTGGATCATCTAGCAACTAGATAAGAAAAAATGCTAGGCCATGACTATACCAGACGGCATAATGAAGTGGTTAGATGCCTACACCAACTTCTCTTAAATATATATAAGTTTAAGTCCTCAAAACGAATTAGAAGTCACTCAGTTCAAGAAATTCTTGATAATGAGTATGCAGAGATAAGAGTGGACACCAGAATAAAAACTGATGTTAAAATTCGGAATAACAGATCCGAAATATTTATTTTAGATAAGAAGAAGAATAAGATAACACTCATTGAAGTAGGAATCACTTCCCAAGATTCACTTCAAAAGTTAAAACTAAAAAACTTAGGAAGTATGACCTGCTAGCCAATGAGTTGGGTCTTATTTATAGGTGTAGTGTTGGGATAATCCCTTATGTGATGACCTGGGACGGTATTGTGACAAAATACCATAAATCTCATCTTAAATGACTAGAAATACCCATGAATGTAGAAGCATACATTCAGTCTATAGTACTTAAGAAGACACTCTATACAATTTCCTTTGACCGAATAAGAGCACTGGACATTGAGCCAAATGCCGAAGAGAGCTGGGGAAAAGCGCCAATTGTGTTATTGAGAAAGCCGAGATGTACCTGGAACCAACACCCCCTTTAAAACAAGCGAAGAATGAGGAAGATCATGTTAAACATGTTAAAACAAAAAATGAACAACCCCTTATTTCAAAAGGAGGAACCCCATTAGAGGAATTCACAAAGGCATAAATGAAGAATCTGATTTAGGAGAAGAAAAGACGGTGCTAGAAAGGTAGAAGAAAATGCATAAAGGTGTAAAAATGGGTTTAACCCATCATTTTAATTGATAAAATTTATGTAATTATATCTCGCTTAATCATAAAATGTTCATTTTAATGTTTTTTAAATTTATTATTTAAATAGTATTTTACAAAATTATTGGTGTGATGGCCGAGCGGTCTAAGGCGCTGGAATTAGGCTCCAGTCCGTAACAGGGCGGGGGTTCAAATCCCTCTCACACCATACTTTTGAATTTAATATAAACAAGTAAAAGTCTTTAAAAATTTTTAATTTTACTACCATACTTCTTGAATCTTGGAAATAAATCTTTTTAAAATTCCAAATAATTGTAACTTCTAATACAAATATTTAAAAACAAACACCTACTAAAAGCCAAAAAGATTAATATATTATAAAACTAAATTATATTGCGACTTAAAACATAATAAACTGTAATCCCATGCAAATCAAAATAAAAACATTAGAAGGAAGAGAAATAGAAATAGAAACAGACCACAACGAAACAGTAAGTGTAATTTCTAATTAGGTTTTCCAATTAAAAGAAAAAATAGAAGATTATGAATTGATACCACCACTTCAACAAAGACTTATATATTATGGTAAGATTATGTCAGATGATTCTAAAAAACTTGTAGAATATAATGTTAATAATGGTTGTGTTGTTCATTTAGTTCTTGCTCTCAGAGGTGGATAGTTTCTATAAAAAAATATTTTTTTACTTTCCTTATTCAGATTTAATATTTTTTTACTTTCTTTATAAGAATTAAATATTTCTTTATGGAGGCTGTTTATTTTTTATTTGCATTTCTTTATTTGAAATAAATTGTTTAAAATTAAGTTTAACATTTTTATTTATATCTCACATTTTTTTATTTTAAGAACTGAAATATTTTAAAACAATATATAATAATAAGCTAATTATTCTATATTTGTAATAAAATAAATATTTGGAGCATTTTTTTCTTAATTTAAGTTAAATTTTTTATTATTTGTAATTTCATTTAAAATTTGATGAAATCTGATTGTTTTGGAAATTTATTTACCAAAAGCAATTCTTATCAATTATTGTAATATTTCTTCTCACATTTTATTATAATTTAAACCTTTTTTAAACTACATTTTATAATTAAAAAGACAACAACTTTATTCTTTTACAAAAAGGCAGTTATTAAACTTTTTGAACTTTTATTTCATATTATTATTTATAAAGAGTTTATTTTCATATCGGTATAGAAGTCATAAACATGAATTTCATCTACAATCTTTCATTTTAAAATTCTTAAAATACTGATTGAGGAATCTATTTATTTAATAAAATTCTGGGTTAAAATATTTTTACCATTTTTTGATTGAGGAATCTATACTTTATTTAAACTTTATGAAATCCTTCAGTGTTAAACAATGAAAAGTCTAATATTTCTTCCATTTTATTTTTACTATCATAGCTACTTAAAAATAACCTATTAGAACATGATACTGCTCGAAATAATAAATTTACTCCATTGGTTTTTTCAATATAAATATTTATTTGTCCTAAAATAATGGAACCAAAAGGAATTGTGCCTGATCCTGTAATAAAAGAAATAAATTTTCTAAGATAAATTTCATTTTTGTTTTCTATAATTTCAAATAAAAAAAAATTTCTTTCGAATTTAAAGAACAATTATCAAATAAAACATAAATTTCAACCAATATTTGTGAAATATTTGAGCAAGAAAATATTTCTTTAAATTCATAACTTATAATTGAAAAAAAAGCTTTCCTAATGTAATTGTATGGCAATTTTTTGGATTCAAAAAGTCTTTCATTAATTAAGCTTTGCACGTATTTTTTTCTTTCATCTTTTACATTTTTATTTTGATAATTAATTTCTTGATAATTATTTTTGTAATTTTCATCAAAAATATCTTTAGAATCTTCCTCGTAATCATTTATATTCTTAAATTTCACATTTTTATTGTTACAATTCAAATTTTTATATCTAATGGAATTATTATCCTCGTCGTCATATTTATCCTCATAAATATCATATTTGTTCATTAAAAGCTATTTCATAGAAGATTGTATGTGCATATCTTGTATATGTCTTAAATTATATTTTCTGTTCAATAGATTTTCATAAAAAGCTAAACTAAAATTAATTGCAATACATTGTTTATTTTCAATGGCAAGAGCTAGAAATATTCCTATAAAAGTAAAAAAAGCTTCATCGTTTAAAAAATTTTTTTGCTTATTTTTTTTGATTTTTAAAGAATTCATCTTCTAAATTATTTTTTACTTTTTCTTATATTTCGTTAGAAGAATGATATTTTTGACTTTGAAAATTATTTTCTAAATATTTTATTTCATCTTTATCTTCACATGTATATTTATCGGAATTTTCTAAATAATTATTTTCTATTTTATTTTTCAAATCTTCAGCTTTATTTTCTCCCTTATATTCATTTATTTCAGACTTTAAAAAGAATTTATTTTTTGGTTTATTTTTAATTTTAATATATTTTTTTAAATTTTCAGATGGGTAGAAAGAAAAATGTTAGCAGCGAAATATCGAATAATACCAAAATAAAGGCTGCAAACGACGCTGATGAGGTGAAAAAGAGTGATAGTGAGATACAAAAATGTAAGCTACATCCACCGGCGATTCCCCTACCTTCCTCCTCCTACACAACAATAACACCTCCACCACCAAGCCAAACATGCAGTAAAATGCAAAATAGTGGGCTTGACACCTTACCTTCGCCTAATGCACCAGTTCCCTCTTCGGTTGAAGTCTCTGCGTGCGAGCCATCGTACGACATGACAAGCCCCTGTACTCTAGCTATTCCAGAAGGTAACAGGCTAATGGCATTGCGGACGATATTCGATTCCGTAACAGCCGACCCGAAGGAATGGCCTCGAATTGTTTTTTTTGCAGTACAGACAAGGTTTGAAAGAATGCCAAGAAATGGCTGGACAGAGCTTCACAGGTACTATAATGAGAAATTCGGCTGCACTGAAACTCTCGAAGTGTTAAAAAAATTGGCACAAAGTGAGATGGGAAAGGATGTAAAATCAGAAGAGAATGGAGAGCGACGTAGAATCGCCACTTGTCTCGCTGATACATGCACCTTGACCGACACCACGGAGTACATAAACCTGAGAGATAAATTCTTGAGTAAAATCAAAGAAATCTCTGAGAACGAAATTGGAAAAGTGGTGGTCCGAACTAGAAAACATCCAAATGAATTGGTTGATAGTAAAGTTCTGGATCTCATTAATCGAGTAGTCAGTGAATATGCAGGAGCTCATGTACCTGAGTCAATTACGGAAGCCGCGTATATCATGCAAGCTGCGCAGGTATGCTATGACGAGGCAACACGCAAAGAAAAGCCTAGATCCGCTTGGAAAAAAAACATAGAAAGTAAAATTTCTAAGTTAGTACTTTCCAAAGATCTTCTCGAGAAGGCTCGTAAGCAGGAAAAGCTCTCCACTTCGGAAACGAAGAGCCTTAAGAAAATCATGCGAGAGTTTAATTTAAACTTGAGCAGCGTAACTGATCTTTCTGAGGCTTTAGTTAAGAAGAATGAGTCTTTGAATGTTTACGAGAAAAAAATTACGATGCATGAAAGTAGGAAGCAATTCCGAAAAAAGAATCGTATGTTTGAGCTTTTCCGAGGTCGATTTTATCGTGGGTTATCTGAGCGTGTAGAATCCGAGCATGTGGTTAGCCGTGATGAAATTGTGAGTTTTTGGTCTACAATGTGGAACAAAAATGATGACACAGTCACGTATGATGATTATTTGATTCCATTTGTATCAGATAATCATCCGACCACGTTTCCTTCACTTGATGAATTTGTAAATATCATTAATTGGCTTCCCAATTGGAAAGCTGCTGGAATTGATGGTATTTACAATTTTTTCATTAAGAAACTTACAACTCTACACAAATATCTTTATGATATTGTGAAAGTTATATGTTTAGAAGGAACAACTCAAGCTGATTAGTTTTACTGCGGGCTTACGTATTTGATACCGAAAAGAATTCCACGAAGAGGCTCTGACTACAGGCCAATCACTTTTATGTCCAACCTCTACAATTTAACGACTAAGTGTGTAACGAAAGTCGTTCAAATTGAAGTGGAAATGTGAGGGTTGCTTGCGGAGAACCAGTTGGGAGCAGTAAGAGGTGTGCAGGGAGCGAAAGAGCAGGCTCTACTGAATATTGCCTTAAATAAAGAGTATGGAAATAATCTTAAGGCAACATGGATTGATGTTAAAAAAGCTTATGATTCAATAGATCATGCTTATTTAACTCAATGCATTGAAAACCTTAATTTACCTGATTGGATCCTGAAATTTATTAAGGTAATTATATCAAAATGGAAAATTGATATATCAGTAGGGCCTGAAAAAATCATGAGCAAGAAGATTGATAGAGGGATTCTACAAGGAGAAAGTCTGTCACCTTTGTTATTTGTGTTGTGTATGGATCCATTAAGCCGAAAGCTTAATGAAAAAAACACAAAAGTGACAGTACAAACAGATGCAGAATCCCATTCTACTAATCATATCTTGTTTATTGATGATCTTAAGCTCCTTGCTAAAGACAGTTCGACATTGAGTGCTATGACAGACGAGGCAAAGGAATTTTTAGAGGTGATTGGGTTAGAGATTAAACAAAGAGAAGTCAGCCACAAATGATACGTGTTGTGAAGATACTGCAACTCTTCTAGAAGGTGTTAGTGTTTACAAATATTTAGGAATAATAGAAGATAGCAGAGGAATTCCAACACGTAGCTTATTTGAAGAAGTACAAAGCAAACTTATATCAAGAGTTGAAAGACTTTGTCACACTAGATTAAACGCAAAAAATTTATTTCAAGCCATTAACCAACATTAAATTTCTTTACTAAACTATCATATAGGAGTACTTCGACTTGAACCAGCTGACTTCTCTAAGTTAGATGATGCAGTGCGTGCGGTGTCGTTAAGAATAAGATACATCTCCGCCTAGGATGTAAAGAGCGTTTATACCTTCCTAGAACAGAACTTGGAAGAGGCCTACATAGTGTTGAGTTGCGAAGCGAACATATGCTTCTGCAACTCTTGGATTGTCTGGAAAAAAGTAAAGAAATATCAACTAGACGAGCTGCAATCCTCAAGGTGGAGAATAATAATAAAACCCATCTTGCACTAATAAAAGGCTTCTTAAAAGTAAAGTACAGGTTGGTAGAAGA